CTTAGAAGTATATAAACATTTTTTTGGCCTAAAGAAAACAAAAACTAGAGGTTATTATTGTTTAATTCATTGAATTGATTGGGTATGCAGCACACATAGTTATAGGAACAGCATATTCAAAAAATAATAAATCTTTCAACATCTAAAACAAATCCAGATTCCACAAAACCTATGTTTGTCTAATTATAGCTTTGTGTTTTGATGTGGTTTTCTATGTAAATACATTCTAAGGCCTGCAGCTGGAATGCATTATATTAAAAACACATGTTAGAAGTTACAAAGTACCACAGACTGGGGAAATGGCTCAGCAGCTACGAGGGCTTGCTGCTTATACGAAGGACCTGAGATCAGTTCCCAGCACCCTTTTGGGGTAGCTCACAATTGCTCCAATGAATCTGACACCCTCTTCTTGCCTCTGTGAATCTTGCACACACACAAGGCATATACTACACACATACACATAGATAAAAACAAACCTTAAAAATCACAAAGTACCAAGTATTTATTATGGGTCTCCAAAGCAAATCAAAATAGTTATGGTAAAGGATATTTGCTGCTTCCAAACCATTTTAGGTTTTCAGTCTATAAGCCAACCTGCTAATACTCAGGTTATCTAATACTACAACCCCTGAGATGCTGTCAATCACCAATTACAGTGAATGTGATTTGAAAATCTAAAAATGGATGCTTACTGAGATACAAAGATAAATGAGACACCCTTATATACTTTTCATAGCAGTATTAGTGTGAGACCCTTTGAAGAAAGAGGACACCCATCTGCCAAATTCCTCAGCACAGCAGTAAGCAGGATTTTGAGGGCAATTGCCATTTGGGGCAGCATCTCTCAGAAGTTCTATGTTAGGTGCTCCCACACAGGGTCAGTGGAGGGTAGGTGCATTTTTTCCCATCATGACTGAGTGTTTCCAACATTAAAATTTCAGAGTTTAGGTACTAATGTACAACGGCAAGACAGAACAGAAGATCAATTATCTACTCCAATATCACAATTGTACTAAATATGAATTTTAACAAATCCACTCACTGTCTCCCCTTATCATAACTAGAAGATTTTTCCATTTTTCTAACCACATTCCCAAAGGCTAAAACCCAGGATGTACACAGCCTTTGTGAATAGTTTTTCTCCTTAACTGTTTGGGAAGAACACTTTAATCTCCCAAAGAGAAGAAATCTATAAGAGTTATCAAAATAAGTGTTTACCTAGATATCAGCCAAATATGTAGAAATTCACACAGATTCTTCTAATTCACTGGCTACATTCTGTGTAATGTACATTTACACTGTGGGCAGAATGCTCCCTTACACTACCCCTGAGCCTGATTAGATGTTATCTGTTGTGAGCCTGATTGGATACTATCTGCTGAAGGTGTACTTTAGAGAGGCTTTCATGTGTTGTAGGGTAAATAAAAACACATCGCCTAACCACTGATGAAGTTAACCATAGTGGCTTTCTGCCTCTATTCACTATTTGTATGACACAAACTGTCTTCCTTTGTACTTTGTACAAATGCTTGTGTGTCTGGAGTAGGATATCATCAACCAGATACATTTCTATTTAACTGAGAAAATGTCATGTTACATAGCATCACAGTTTTTGAACTTGTCAAAGTCTGTTAGAACATGAAAAAGTTTGTTCAAAGTGATTTCACATATAATTGCATGTCTAATTACAGTTCATTAGATATTTAACATAGAAAAATGGATACAAACTCATTTTTAAGTTTGGATGAGAATCCATTTACTTTCAAAGGAGATATTATGCATCCGTATTTATCATTAGGAAGAAAAAAGATTCTGAAGGGAAAAAAAAATGCCCCAAGTTGGAACTGTATAGTTCCCTGATTAAACTGGGGACATCATATATTCCTTCCACCACAGCACTTCTCTCTACCATAAACCAATGTCTTTCTGTCTCACAGGAGTGGGAGAATTAAATGAGGTCATGGAAGAGACGTGTCGAGAGCAGCAAGGACGCATGAGAAATAGCTGATCCCGGTGTGACTTATAGTTTGTGTGGACACTGCTATATAGCAGTTATTTCATGTTTCTCAAAAAAACACATTTCCTTCTGATTTCACTGGATACAGAATGAACTAGAAGTGTATTTTATTCCCAGAAACTTTCTGAATTAAATTCTCTCATATTCTTGATCCTAAATGTTGAATTTAATCTTTATTTAATGATGTAGGGTCACTGTTTATATCCAAATATCATTGATCACCATCATAGTAGGAAGAGGGCAGGCTACATGTTTCCTGGCTCCAAAACATTCAGAGTCTAAGAGGCTCAAACACAGGCACCAGATGAGTTGTTGTTTCTAGGATTGTTGCCATTTCGTAAGAGATAAGGTTGTTATTATTTCGAGTTTGGTTCATATACAATTTTGATGTCATCTCGCACTCATTTACTTATCAGAAAGTCTCTCAGGCTGTCCTGTAATCAACTCCTCTCACCTTCTCAGCTAACTTCCTGATGCACATTACTTCAAAACAAAGATAAGGACGGAAGGCAGCCAGAACAAAGATGAACATGTATTTCATGAGTGAAATACAAAATACTATATTTTCGAGGTGTTTTTTTTCCAAAGAGGATTCAGAAGTACAACATAAGAATCACTATTTGACTTGCTATCTGGAAAAATCACTCTCCTTTGCAAACACAAGTTCTTTTCACCAGAACCTCCCTTGCAAGAAGACAGATCACTGGAAAATCATTTTGTAATTTTTAAATATTTAAAGAAAAGCAGAACTTCTACTTTCCACTGTATATAAGAATTACTTCTTGAGATGCCTTCATAAATGTAGACCTTAGCATTAAAAGCTTTTAATTCTACTGGAAATGAATCATGAGATAGCAAATGTCTTCACATACCATGAGAACACATTTTCCATAAAAGAGAATGTCCTCGCACACATCCTGGAAACATACTTTCCTGAAACAAAATTCAAAATTTCCCAAAGAAATGGGATAGAGACATTTTTTCTTCTAAATTCATTCAAATTAAATAAAATTAATATGATTTTTTTCTATAGTATGTCAGTTTGTGGCAGATCTTCCCCCACAAAAGAGAAAGAACTTTTATCTTCTTAAACATCAATTTAAACTCAGTTCTAATACCAGGCCAAACAGACACTGCAGTGCTTATAAGGATGACGAGGCTCTTTCAGAAAGCTCCTTTGAAACTGAAGACCAACAGTAGGGTCACAATGGATGTGAATTAGGATACAAGCAAAGTTCCTTACCGAGAGTTCACAAAATACCTTGGTGATGATAAAGCTGGAATGGTACTCAACACAGGTGCAGCATTTGCATGCAAAAAGGCCATCTCATGCCAACAATTTTAATTTGTAGTTTTGATGAGACATAAGTCATGTTTCAGTAACCCAGAAATGGAATACCATATATACAATACAGAAGTTCTGCAATGCCAGGCAATATATGAGCTATCTTTCTTATCTGAATCACTTTAGTGAAGCTTCTGGTACTGGGAGATGCCGAGGGAATGGTTTGTTTAGCTGAGCATCCATCTCTGTAGTAGAGACTTCCCATGTTATAGTCAAGCACCTGTTTGGCTACTCAGCTCTGTTCCATATTCTGCACTCTCTGCTCCTAGTTAGCATGGACGACTTTCCATCTTTGGCATAGTTCATGAGAATAGATAAGATGACTCAGCCTCATGGTGCTCTATTCAAATGTATCCTGGGAAGAGTCTTCAAAAATACACATCTGAGAAAATGTAGATCCTTCCATTACCTCAATAGTGCCACCTTAGATTTATTATTGTGACAAAAGCTTTCCTGGATTTTAATTTGTTAAGAATATCCAAGGACACGTATAAGTCTTTCTCCATCAACCAGCTGTTAATTTAATAATTTTTGATATTTGGTAAATATTTATGTAGTGTCTTATTTAGTAGATATTGACCTATGGCTACCAGAAACTTCTAGAATATAACGAATAGTCCTGAAAATTTCAGTAAATAGTCAACATATTGTCTAGATTTGTATCCTTACACAATGCCTAGGATTAGGCTGGTCACACAGTCAGTTACTGATTCTAAGAGTCTGGCTGCCCTATTCTAATCCATCCTGGATGGATTTGGCAGTGTCCAATGTGAAAGTGTTGTCTGCTCTGAAATATCAATAGAAGTAATGTAGTCCCATATACTTGCTTGCAACATCTACATCAGGTGAAGAAAGTCAAGGACTCGACCTTGATTCACTCCTTGGTTGTCACTGATATTGGGACTGGGTTAGAAGAACACTGGGGCACTGGCCTCATTTCTTCCCACTGAAACTGACCTCTTCCCCAGTCACTTCTGTCACCCCACTGCAAAGTTACAAAATGCAGATATTCCCCTTCTCCATGTTGAGGGATTGGCACCAATATCTACATCTCACTACCAAAGAGTCTTGCCATATCCTGCTGAATAGCATCCTGGAGACTAAATATAGAGTGACATTTTATGAACATTCAAAATGGTCAGAAATGTGGTTCTTCAGACACCCATTATTTCTTCTGATTCATGTCACAGGTTAAATCAAAGGAGCTACTGTGAGATAGAAATGCTGGAAGGGGGCGGGATTTGCAAGTACTGTACACCTGGGTTTTAACTGCACCCACTTAAGATATACTGCCAAAAGCTAGATTTATTCCTTTTTTGCCTCTTTCCATGCATCTTAACACCCAGATGAACTTAAGTGGAGAAAAACAACACTGACAAAGAGAAGCAATGGGGAGGTTTTGGAAATAGGTGCTAGTGAATAAAATAATCGGGGGCTCACTCTCTCTGGACAGTTTTAGCTGTTCTTCCTAAGTGAATCTTACTTAATAGTACATTCTAAACTTCCACTCCTTCCTTACTATCTGTAGAAGTGTTCAAGAAGACACACCTAGTCTATAAATGATTTCAGTTTGTCTTCTAATGACAGATCACACTTTAGCAGATGGCCCCTCCAATTGGAAAGTACAGAAATACTCACTTGTTTAGCCTTTGTCTTTGAGATTGTATCAGAAATGGGTTTCTTTCTTTCCTTTACTGCAGTTTTAGAAAATAATTCTTCAAATTCATGGCAATCTATGGATGGCTCTTCAATCTTTTCCCAAATAAGTGAAGGACTCGTCTCTCTAAAATTAAGCAAAAGAACAATAAATGGGCCATCCAACGTCCCATAGCATGATGAGCACAAACAGAGAGGATGAAGAAAAGGAGGGGGAAGGAAAAGACTAGAAGATAAGGAAGAAAATGTTTTATCAAGCTGATTAAAAAGTTAAAATGTCATCTATATGAATAAGACATTTGTCCAACAATTGTTTTCCAAAATTCTTCATTACCAAGGCATTCCATGAAAACATCAAAGCAAAGTCTCTCTCAGAATTGTTAAGAGGAGCAAGGAATGTTTGATTTTTTTACATCCCAATTTGATTTAGCCTACTAGATTATTTGAGAGTTAAAGCAAAACAAAACCAAAAAAAAAAATTGTATCTCTGAGGCCAAGTAAAGTAGCATACACCTTTAATCCCAGCTAAAGAGGCAGAAGCTCCATGAATCCAAGGCCATCTTGGGCTGTACAGCAAGACTGCATTGTGAGATCCTATTTCAAAAATAAATTAACTGATTAATTAATGCATACATATATGTATATGTGTGCATACCTATATGTATATATATTGTATGTGTGTATGTATGTCTGTATACATGTACATGTATATGTATGTATGTGTGTACATTTCTAGAGCTGGAAAGATGGCTCAGAAGTGGAGTATTCCTCCCAGATAATCTGAGCTCATTTCCCAGCATCCACATGAGGCAACTAACAACCATCTGAATCTCTAGCCCCAACAGATCTAACACCCTCTTGTAGCCTCCAAGTATACCTACACATGTGTACTATATATACATACATGTGAATAAAGAATTAAAAAATCAAGCTTTATAAAGTGTTTTATATATACATATATAATTTCTAAGAAAATACTGTCTAAACATTGCCACCCAACTGCCCACTGTCATTTTTCTTCTCAATACCTACATGTTTGTGCAGTACCTCTAAGAAAGAGTAAATGTCATTTATAAAAAGCAAAATATGAAACAGAACACCATATCCTAGATCTGGAGAGATGAGTTTGGCTAGAGTTTGGAATGATTCATCAATGTATGTAAGTGATAAGACACTTGGGCAGAGAATGGACTGGATAAAAAGAGCCAGGGATCTCAGAGTATCTTCTCCTGGATGGACTTAGTGAAGAGAAAATCAATGCAAGAAGTGCAAAGGAATACTATTCCCAAATGCACGTCACTTTGTCCAAATACGTCCAAGAATTATGATCAATCAGAATAAAAAGAATCAATGGCATTTAAAGTGTGTGTTTTTACTCCTTCCCCCACCCCCAGTATTTAATAGGGAAGGCTCACTCTTGAGACTGAGGATCAGATTATGTGTGGACAAACAGTATGCGACCTGAACACTTAGTGGAAAAACCTTAGTTCATAATGGTCATTGCCAATCTTGACCACGTGACTCCCCTTGTTTCACTAGAAGTACCAGAGCATTCTCAAAGTTACTTTATACACATAGTTTGGAGATGTTTTGATGTACCATGTTTCTTTAGAAAGAGTTCTTGTGAATAACACAGAATCATAATGCACTGCCTCTTAAATGTACAGAACTCATCCTGGAGAGTTGGTTTGCCTATGGCTTCAATTTACATTGTTTTAAGCCACTGGGCAGAAATAGAAATTTAAATAGTCAAGGAATATAAACTAATTGTGCAACAAATATGCCTATTTCTCTGCTCTGGTTGTTTTTGCAGAGAAACCTTGCTTTAAATGGTTTGAGTGCAGAGGGTGTCAAATCCTCTAACTACAGGCAAAAGTGCTTATGCTAAGAAAAACAGACCCCAAGCTTAAAACAAAAATTAACACTATATATGGATACAGAGACGCACTCATGCCAGTTTTTCAATCTTCAATACTATGGAAGAAAAGTCTGCAATGTTAAACAAATTGCTTCAGTAAACATTGGAAGTCAAAATCTTACAAAAGTTTTATAGGTGTACTTAAATCCATTAAATTCTACTTCAGCCACAAAGTTCTACACTAAGGGATAAGCTTGCTCTGGGGTTACCTTTTACTATGGAGTTGAATTCTTGTCCAATAGAGAGGCTTCATTGGCCGGCAAGGTTCAATTGGCTGCTTCCTAGCCCCTCTGTCCTGATTCATCCCCAATCCAAATATGCCAGTTGGCAATGGAGGAAAAAGAAATCCACACACTTGTGGTGCTGGTAAAGTGCTACTCCCAACTTGGGAAGAGAGTGAAGGCCCTGAGCCAGGCAACAGTGGGGGTGGAGGGATGCCTGCCCCGAGGGGAGGTGGGGCTGGAGGAACCCCCACACCTGGTAGAGGGGGAAGGGGAGGGATAGCAACTCCAGGGAGAGGAGGGGGAGGGGGTATCCCCACTCCAGGGAGAGGAGGGGGAGGGGGTATCCCCATTCCGGGGAGAGGAGGGGGAGGGGGTATCCCCACTCCGGGGAGAGGAGGGGGAGGGGGTATCCCCACTCCGGGGAGAGGAGGGGGAGGAGGTATCCCCACTCCGGGGAGAGGAGGGGGAGGGGGTATCCCCACTCCGGGGAGAGGAGGGGGAGGGGGTATCCCCACTCCGGGGAGAGGAGGAGGAGGGGGAGGAGGGGGTATTTCCATTCCAGGGAGAGGATGGGGAGGGGGTATCCCCACTCCAGGGAGAGGAGGGGGAGGAGGTATCCCCACTACAGGGAGAGGAGGAGCGGGAGGAGGGGGTATTCCCAGTCCGGGGAGAGAAGGAGGTGGGGGAGGGGCTGGCAGCATTTCTGTTCCCTGTAGACTGGTAGGTTGTGGGGCTGTTGTACTGGGCAGAGCAGGCACTGTTATGTCAGAGAGACAGGGAGGTGAGGGAATTGCCATGCCCAGGCCAGGCACGAAGCTGGAGGACTCTGTGCAAGGCAGAGGTGGTGCAGGAGGGATATTACAGCTGTTTTGGAAGGAGGAGAAAACAGAATGTTTGTGGCTGGTTTCCAACGCAGTAGGCAGACCATCGGGAGGTGGTGGGAGTGGTGGTGCACTCTGCAGGGCTGGTTGGGCATCAAGCTGTACTGATATTCTCCTTGGAGAGACAATCAGAGAAATCTCCGAACAGAATTTTGTCTGAGGTCCAGAGGCTGAGGCTAGAACAGCTGACTCTCCACTCTGAGCTGCAGGTGGGCATGGGGGACCTTCTGGCAATGCCTTCAGAGATGCCAGTGTCAGGATACCACCCTCTTCTGTAGGGGAAGTTTGAATTGACTTTGCCTGAAGAGTTCTTGGAGGCTGTGCAACATCCCCATGCAATCTGAGAGCATCCAGACCAACTTCTTCAGAGGCTGTGAATCCATTCTCAAGACCTGGAAGACCCCTGGGCCCCTCCAAGTCTAGGGCTGGATATTGCTTTTCTAGCTCAGCTATTTTTGTCCTCAGGTCTTCAATGGTCTGTTCCAGTTGCTGAATTACAGTTGCCTGCCCTTCAGACTTCACATCGCAAACTTCCTGAGAGACAAGGACAGGCACAGTTAGTAAGAAAGTGAAAAAACATCCATGTATCTAAAGAATGGTAAATTCAACAGAGTCACACTGGAACTGCCTCTCCAGACAGATCCTGTCACAGACAGAGTCTACTGAAATTTTTATGTGGACCCTCTTCTCTGCCCTGTTTATCTCATCTTCATACAGGGTCACTGAGGATGGGCAGCTGTGATGGTTAGTTGTAAATGAAACTTGTCCCAACCTAGAATCAGCTGGGATGAGACTGTTAATGAGAAATTATCCATATCAAGTTGGCCTGTAGGCATGTCTGTGGGGGTGGCCTTGACTACCTTCATTGAGGTGGGATGCAAATACCCCCCTGACCAGGCCCTGAACTGCACATAAGTGAAGAAAACTGGCTGAGCAGAAGCAGGCATCACTGAAGCATCCATTCTTGTTTCTCTTGACTGGGCATATGTCCTGACTAGCTGCTTTGAGTTACTGCCTTGATATATGTGTCAGTGATGAACTGCAATCCAGAATTATAAGACACACATATCCTCTCCTCCAATGACTTGCTTTTGGTCAATGTGTTTTATCATTATACCAAAAATGAAACTAGAATAGTACCCAAGAACAGGGAAGAACATCCTAAAAGACAAATGTTTGCCTTCCTGGCTGTGAATTGATATTACTAGGATGTTTCTAGAGACTTTGCAAGCCATCCTGAATGTTAAAGGCAATCACTAATTTAAAAGTGATTCCAATAAGAATACATGAAGTATTATTGACAGAAATAAAACTATGGGGGTATACACTGTGAGTGTATATCATAATCCTGATGTCACGTTCATTAAACTTTAATATTTTACTCAAAGCATTTCAATAGGTGATCACTGATGGCTCTCCAGAATCTATAGACACTTTAAATAAGCAAAATTTTGAGGGCTGAATATGTTGTATGTAAACTTAGGCACATACACAAACCCTTATGCCATCAGTTTTCAACAACATTCAACAAAACACCATAGTATTAATATATAAAAGTGGTGTCATATATTTTTAAGTAGTCCACGGCAAAAGAAATCTCTTATAGACAGTTCTGTTTCCCACTTGACCAATATGACCATTCCCATACAAAAATTATGATGCTACTGAGTATAAGGAACCAAAATAGAAAACTTTACCACTCAAACTCATTTTAACAAGTCTTTATTATTCAGCTTTTTCTTGTGGCACTGGATTACTTAAATGTGTAGATTATCTCCATTTTCCTGGCACACTGGTAAAAGTGACTTCTAAATATTGATCTGTATTTCTCAAGTTATCTTGGTATATAGCTAGAGTTCTTAATTTTTCCACCAATGATCATTAAAAAAAAATGTTCCTTTGGGGCCAGTGAGATCAGTGAGATGACTCAGCAAGGCACTTATCATCAAATCTGAAGAAGTGAAAGTGTAAGTCCATTGACAAATGAAATGCAGGAAGTAAATTACAGAAGAGATTTTTCCCAAACCCAGTTCTTAAATCATATTAACTAAGCTGATTCCTTTTCATCACCAGTTTAAATATGATGAAACTAGTATAAAATCAGAGGGCATCTAGAAAGATAAAGCGAAAGGAGAAAATGACTATGTCATAATGGCCTCACACTGAGGCAGCTATCACTGTCCTTCCAACCAAGATTTACATCCCCACATTCACAGACCGTCTACTCAAAACACACACCAAAAGCTAGTGGCAGTAGGAGTTACAGTAGCCACAACAGGGGATATTTGGATATTTTAAAATTCTACATTGCAAAGCCCATCAGCAAAAGGTAAACAAACAGTCATATTGCACATGGTACCTGGTATGAGACAAAGACCTTGTATCAAGCCATCATGGTTACTCCTAAATAGCATTCACCAGCCTTCCTGCAATAGTTTCCCAGCACTCTGTAAACAGACAGGGACACTGGAGTGTTGTGTGGAGCTTTATGACTAGGCCCTAGTGCCAGGAATGTCCCTGACATTGACATTAGTGTGAAATAAACCAGGTGTGCTCTGACTTGGGCGAAGCCACTTTTGACTTCACCAACATATACAACTTTACTTCTGACTGTAATGGAGGGGATTTGTTGCTGCTGCCCAGGCCCACTCTTCTGAGTGAGTATCTAATAAATTGTGATCCTCAAGCTGTCTCCTCCTTCAATGCCACAGCACCCTGGGACCAGTTCTCACACCGGGACTGGACTGCTCAGAACATTCTGCACAATGTTTTAACTATTGGCTCACCCAACCAACAGCTTCCTTCTGTTTGTAGGAATGGGAAGAATATGACATTTACAGATTCCCTCGTAGCTAGGTTTAACCTATTAGATGAAGTGACAGGGAGATTTAGAAGTTTAAAAATGGCAAGAGCCATCCTGAGTATGACAGCGGGGATATGAAAACCTGAAGCTTCTCTGGAACACGATTACAATTCGCACTCTAATTTGTGACTGCCACCCCAAAGGTTTCAGGTTTCCAGGTAGATTAAGCATCAAAAGCTGCCATGCAGTGGTGGTGCATGCCTTTAATCCCAGCACTCAGGAAGCAGAGACAGGCAGATCTGTGATTTTGGACAAGCCTGGTCTACAAGAGCTAGTTCCAGGACAGTCTCTAAAACCACAGAGAAACCTTGTCTCAAACACCCCCCTCAAAAAAAAAAAAAAAAGAATCAAAAGCTGAAATTTTCATCTTAGAGGGCCAGCCTTCAAGCTTTCCTATTGCTCCATTAAAACATCTTATTAAGCAGTGATATCTCTTCTGTTCACTTCATTCAGGAACAAAGGCCAACTGGTAGAAAATATATCAGTATTTCAGATTTAGTTGCATGTACTGGTGGAAGGATCTGTTCCAAAAGAGCAACATTTAAAAGCTAAGTGACCACATCATTTACTTTTTGGGGCTGGGGCTCAGTGGTTGACTCCTTGGCAGGCATGCATAAAGCCTTATAACAGGGAGTTATATAATTTTTATATTTAAAACTAATTTTTAGTAAAAACTTTGCGTAGATACATGATCCTAAGCTACATGATTCAAATGTTGCAGCTTCTCTTTCCCTGATACTAAGAAATGCTATAGTTTTTGAAAGATAGGCAATTTCCCCTCAGGTTGCATTTGCATTGAGTGGCTTAAAACTGTGAAATCACTGATAAGCTAACCCAGGCAGAGGTCATATTCTAGTTATTTATAATTACAGTTTAGAGCACAGGGGATAGTGAACGATGCCATGTGAAAAAGGGGCTGAGCCAAATACTGCATTAAATTTACTCGTTTATTTATTTGGTGATAGTAGGCGCTGAACCTAGGGCCTCATGCATGCTATACCACTGAGATATACAATTAACCCTTGCTTGATCGACTTGTCGTCCATTTTGAGGCAGGATATCACTATGCTTCCCAGATGGACTTCGAATTTCCTCTGTAATCCACTCTTTGAGTTTGTAATCCCCCTGCTTCAGTCTTTGAGTAGCTGACATTACAGGTTTGTAACACCAGACCTACCTCTACATAGTCATTTTACCAATATGCATTATATTTTTGTCTTTTATTCATTTTTTAAATAAAGAAATAACTAATAAAGAAGTTGAGAAAATAAGGAACTGATAATATAGCTTCAAAGATTTTCAAATATGTAGCACAGTAAGAAATGGAGCTAAGATATGAAAGAGGGAAGAGTGGTAGGAGAATAAAATTTCAAAACTAAATCTACAACAAACATGATAATTAGCTGCATGGTGCCAGGCAGTGCAGAGTTAAGGAATTCTTGAAGGTATTAATAGCCACACTACAAAGACAAGAGATGGAATGTTTTTACAGATAGCTTTTTAATATACAGATAAGTTTTAGACAAAGAAAAAGAAAAATAGGGATGAGAGACTTGCCTACTTCTTGCAATATTTCTACTTCATAGAAATAAAAAACGGAAACAAAACAACAACAAAACACAATTTCCCAGAATTTGCATTCCCTTTTTGACAATTCTCTTCGTGAAATACTGGAAGTAACAGTCTGTTTTCCATCCAGGAAGCAGAGCAATTAAGTTCATCCTAAACCCTGACTACCATGCAAAAGAAAGACAAGCCATCCAGGAGCCTTTGTAGAGTAGCCAAATGTATATAAGATTTTGAGATCTCAACTTAGCTGAGTCATCAAAGAATCTTATCTGGCCTTCCTTATCCAGGACTATCAGTCAAGGGCTGGGTCTTGCTGAGTATTTGCAGCATCCATGACAACAGTTCCTGTTGTGTTCTTAGAGAGGGCTGCATTGCTTGTCAACAGTAACAGTTGATTTCTCAATGGGTTACCCTTTTTTTTTTAAAGGAATTTATATGGTAAATATAAGTCATTATCAACAAAAAGAGCTGGCTATCTTCTGGCCATGGTAAGTAAACATTCTAGGCCCAAGACCCACATGAAGTAAAGATCTGCAGGGCCCACCCACTGACAAAGCCACAATGTAATCTCTAAAAGACTGCCAGGCACTCTGTGGTCCAGGAAAAGCCCTCAAGTTAGGAGCCTGTTCCCTGTGGCCAGTGGCTGGAACTTAATCTTCCTTCTCAGGGTACTAGAGGATGTATCCGATTCTCCAGGGACTTGACATTGAAGAAATGCATCTTCGTTATCTTAGACTTCTTTACAAATATGCTCTCAGCATTTCCAGAATTGTGCAACAGTTTATCCAATGCTCATGGCAATAGCTATCAAGAAAGTACATCACTCTTTACAAGGAAAGGCAAAGTACAATTGTGGCAGTTTTATAAAAAATCTATAGAATAGCTATATCCTTGTAGACAGGTTAAGATAAACCTGACTTAAAAATATATAAAAGGTGACCAAATCATTAAGAGCAATAGAAACTGCCCTCCTATTTGGTCTAAACAATTTTATACAATCAGATAGCCAATTTTTTTCTATTCCTGTATAATGTTATACATGGGTGGTGATGGTTAGTTCCTATAAATTGTTTGAACACTTGAATATCACAAAATCCAAAAT